GGCGAAAAATACCCATCCTTACTAATATTTTTCAAGTAATAAAAATGAAGAGATAAAGGTAGTTAGTCCGTTCTAAGTCCATAATACAGTGACCTTGTGAAAAAAGACTATTTTGTAGAGTTTATAAAGATTTGAAGAATTGTGATGTTTTATTAAATTTTCATTTGAAGTTGACCAAGTTTTGTAAGAACTTTAAATGTCTATTTTATAATTTTAAAATATTTGATAAATTTTATTTTAATTAATAATTTTTGAAATGTCATTGATTATGCCTCAGAATTATATGTATGCATTTTGAACCAAATAAATGGTTAGATATAAATTTAAGTTTTATTTGTCACTTTAAAGTTTTAAAATTATTTCTTTAGAAGTTTTAAATACTTAGAAATTTTATAAAATTTTCATAAGAAAAATGTAAGTTTTTTTTTATTCTATTCTTAAATCTATAAACCATAAATAAAACTCTTCAAATTTCTCTTTTTACTATAAAAAGTTATTTATTTTTAAATAAGAAATTAAGGATGTTACAGTTAGATTAATTTTTAATAATCTATATGATATCCTATTTTACTTATGACATGACTCTAATTAAAAATTTAATGTGATAATTATTAAATATAAAATATAAAATTATTGAAAGTATAATTAAAAATACAATTATAAGGTTACTGTAATTATAAGGATTACAATCATTCTCATTTATAAGTATAGTTTAATTATAAATTATATTTATATTAATATTTTACATGAAAAATAATCCAAAAAAATTAAATATTTATTATAAAAAAAGTACATTTTATTTTATCACATGTTTAATTATTTTATTTTATCAATTACTACATTAATATATTAATAAATAATTTTTAAATTTAACTCTATCCAATTTTATGATTTTTTATGGTTTATTTTATCATAGCTTTCGACCATAAACTACTAAATAATGATTTAGAGGATTGTTTCAAGAAACGACATCCTTTTCTTTCCCCTTTCACATTAATTTATAGATAATATATTTATTAATCTTTTAATGCACATTGTCAATCATAAATAACTCAAAACTATTTAATAATATTACGATGATTCTGAATGAATACACTTTCCCCTGAATTTTTTTCAATTTTTTTTTTTTTTGTGCACTTGACTTACCAATTACATTTTATTCATATATTCCTTTATATATTTGAAAATTTTAAATTGATTTATTTTTATTTACACTATTATTTGATTGAAATGTTGCCTCTTTATAATTTTTTACTATTATTTGGAGAAATTTTGATATTAATGTACATAAATAAAGATAAAATTAGATAATATTATCCCGTGAATATAAGCTGCCATCCAACAATTATGAGCCGGCGGGATTCCACTTGTTCCTTGGATAATGGCACCATCTGTCTCTTCAATAAATATTTGAAAACAACATATCATCCCAATGCGTATTATGTTTTACACCAAATTTTGCAAATTTTGTTTGGTTATGTAGTTAATAAATAAAAAGGATTTATTAAAAGTTATTGAAAAGGATATTATTATATTTTGATTAAAATTAATTTATTCCGTACGTTTTTATCTTTTCAAAAAAAAGTAAATAAGTCTATAATTTTAAAAATTTATAAGTAGGTTATTAAAATTTTAAATTATTTTAAATTATATCTTTATTTATATTTTTAATAAGTTAAGATTTTGATACTGTATCAAACTTTAACATTTACATTATTCAATAATTTTTTTTATAGGATACAAGATTGACGAATTTAATCATTGTTTTGAATGTTTTTATTAAATAAAATTATTTTTTTTAAATTTTAAAAAAATTATTAAACATTTTATCGTATTATTTTATTTTAACGGATAATATATTTTAAAAATATCTAAATGACATAAAATTTGATATACATAATTAGAAAAATAATATAAATTAATTTAACAGTAGAATTTATTAATTTTATATTTTATAAAAAATATTAAATAATGTAAATATTTAAATTTAACACATGCTGTTAATAAATATTAACTCTATTTTTTAGTTTTATTAAGTGCAACAATGTAATTATAATTTTTAAAATAACTTATTACTAGTTTAACTATTTAATACATTTTTAAACTACTTGAAAATCTATAATTAAGCTTAATATTTAATAAATCTCTAAAAGGAATATAACTAGCAATTCAATTAAAAAAAAATCATTTGTTACTAACTCAGAGTGTTAAAGTATTTTACCTTTGCAAGTCATCCATCATAATGGAACAATCTGAATATGTATTGTAGGTGGCATGCATAGCCAGTTCTATAAGTCTAAAAGCATGTTGATCAAGAAATTGGTATGTAAAAATTGGTACAAGTATACAGATATCAAACTAAGTTTTGCTAATTAATTGGTAAGATTGAACTACCTCTACTCTTCACCATTAGATAACCTTTCTAATTCTTTGATTTCTTTAGGCGTGATTGACCTGAGGTATTACAAAAGTAATACACTGATTGTGCTCTTATCCAATTAACTATATTCATAAGGGTATTTTGGTTCCAGTTTTCAATTTCTGCTTATATGTGTAATGTGTGTGGGGTTTTAGTTTCACTGATTTGCGGAGATTTTTTGCCACTCAAGACTTCAGAGGAATTTCATTTTACCATATCATAGAAAGTATATAACTTTTGTCCTTAAGCCCGATTCCTGCGCTGAAACATATGTTCCTTTTATGAAAAACCAAAATATGCTTTTATACTTACAAAATTTCAATTAGAATACAATCATTTAAGTATATATTGTTATATCAATAAAAAAAAATATTGATTTTTATAATAATTTGCATGACCAAATCTAACATTAAGCATGCAGTCAAATTAATTGATATTATAAATATAAAAGCAAAAATTAGAAATACTTAGAATAAGAAGCAGAAGGAAGAGTTATAAATAATAAATATAAAAATTTAAATATAATATAAAGATTTTTAAATCTATCTAGAAATAAGTCATGTAAAATTATTTTTGTATGACATAAAAATTATCAAATTAAAATTTTGTAGCATATTAAAATTATTTTTTCTTATTATCCAAATACACGAATTTTAATAATTTTAAAATACTCTCTCCAAACAAAGTTTCAAAATTAAACTCTTATTAATAAACATCCAAAGACAGTGATACACGAAAATCTGCTATTCCAAACAATAATACAAGTGTGTAAATAGCATAGGGAAAGTAAGTGATATGCAACTAAACTCATCAATACTATGTCGTTTCGGATCAAGACTTTTTTCAGTGGAAAAATAACGTAGTTAACTCAGTTTAATGTAAAGCATTGATACCCTGCATTTATATAAATGTGCAATGTAGTTTTAAATAAAAGATCAAACAAGGAATGGAGGGAGATCCATGTGGTATCCAACCTCATGTCATGTTGCTGTCTACCCTCAAGACAACATGTGCAGACAGTACTACGAGCATTTTGACTATGTCTTTTGTCCATCCTACAAAGAAATCAAGCTTATCCATGATCACTTTAAATTGGAATTGAATTTAGTATGTGCTTAAATATGCATCTGCAAAGTTGAGTTTAAATAAATTTAATTTTGTAAAATTGACTTTATTTAGAAGTGACCTTAAAGTTATGTGATTTATATTCATTTTATTTTATTTTATTTTCACATGTAAGTTTGTAAAAACTCAATATAAATTTTCAACTCTATGCGAAAACTAAAATTGATTAAATTAACGCAAATGCAAATATAAAAGAAAAATCAATTATATCATAGGATTGCCAAGCATGTTGGCGCAAATTTCAAATCACATTTACATATTCAAATTTGAATTTGAAGACTTTTAATGCTGAACCAAGCAAACAATTAAAATACAGAATTATTTTTCCTTAAACTCAACCTAATTCAATTTGCATACGAAAATGACTATACAGATAACTCTACATTCTATATTCTATTTCTTATTTAATTGAATATTGAATTATTTCTTATAGAGTATGTATAAATTATTATTCTTTTTATATTCTTTTAACACTATATAGCATATGGGAAACTTTTAAATTAAATAATAAAATTTATACATATGAGTGACATAAGGTGTCGAACTTGTACTTTTATTTCACTTAATAATTTTTCATAAAATGAAAGATTTATCAATCAAATCATTAAATTATTTTATATAACTTTTATAATTATGTATATCAAATTTTATACAATTTAAAGATTTATAAGTATATTATTTAAAATTTGATATTTAGAATTATAATTGTAATTATAATCAAGTTAGCAAAAGTATAATTATTCAGGATGGTAGCGCATCATATCAAAATCAAGTTACATCCAGCTAAACTACGAGTTCAAATGCTGGTTGGTGTGGTTCTGTTGTTATTTTGCCCATTCTTTTCGGAACGTTTTTCCACTGATTAGCGGAGTTCACCTAAATTCAACCTAATAGTTGCACAATTTTGTCTGTTTTCAAGAATTTGACATTATTAAATAATGTACAACTTTTGTCCTTAGGCCGAATACTAGCGCTGAGATAGAGTTTCTTCATGAAAATGCTTTTGCACGTTACTTAATATATACACTAAGTTATATCAGAAAAGGATTTCCCTTTTTATTCATTTAATAAACATAGTATTATAACGTCATTCAATTACATCGTGCTAGTTAAGATTTTTTTTTTAAATTAATAAAAATAGTGTCTATTATAACTGTCTGATTATATTAAAAAAAAGAATTAGTAGTGATAGTTTTGAAAAAAAAATAATCAACGAAAGATATTGAAGGATACACTCATAAGAATATAGAAAGTTTGACATTAGATTTAAATTCATAAAATAAGTTCAATTTGAAATTGAGTGATTTATCACCTAAATTTATACTTAGGGACAGACAATGACATGCATTTAAATACAGCTAAAAGGCATATTAGTCTTCTTTTTCTCTGGCCTTATCTTTTACATTCCCTTTTATATTGTCACGAAAAGCCTCTTACTTTTTAGTGTTTCATATTAATGTCAAGGTGTGAAACCACTTATTCAATCTTTCTGGAAGTTCAAGAAACAAATGAAGATTTTCAATGAAATAAAATAAATGCCTCTGGAACATTGACATCACCTTAGAGGTAGGTTCCAATTTGGCCAATAGTTGTCCAAAATTTCAACTTATGCAAACTAAACGCGTTGAAAAATACCACCACCCCAACAAGAACTAAATATCAAATCAAATACCAAAGAGCCTGTTCAATATCTCTCTCAATACCATTTATTTTCATATCCATGTTCAAATACCTTGTTTTCCAACAAATCACTCACCAAAGCCACCACCATGCAGCTCAATCGCCTATGCATTGTTTTACCACCAAAATCTGGTGAAATGATGCAACCATTTGAAAAGGGTGTCCAACAACAACCCTTTCAAACAGCAAAGAAACAAGATAAGGCTAAACAACCTCAAAGGGCTTGTGGGGGGCAAGTTCTTGATTTGCTCCGTGATTCTTTGATCAAGTTCTATGACTCAGGGTGGTGGAGAATTTGCCAAAGAGGAGAGCACAAAGAGAACAAGAACTCTGGTTTGTTGTTTCATGACATGGATGGTGTGCAAGTTTCTGTCAACATTGGCTCGGACAACCCAAGGATTTTCAGTTATGCAGAGCTTTTCATAGGGTCAAATGGTTTCTGTGAAGACCAAGTTCTAGGGAGTGGAGGGTTTGGCAAAGTTTATAAGGCTGTTTTACCAAGTGATGGAACAGTGGTTGCTGTGAAGTGCTGTTTAGAAGAGAAAGGAAAACAATTTGAGAAGAGTTTTGCAGCAGAATTAACAGCTGTGGCAGATCTTCGCCACAAGAATCTTGTGAGGTTGAGGGGTTGGTGTGTTCATGAAGATCAATTGCACCTTGTCTATGACTACATGCCTAACCGAAGCCTTGACCGTGTACTATTTCGCAGGCATGAGAACTTGAAGGCTGAGCCTCTTGGTTGGGGACAAAGAGGGAAAATTGTTAAAGGTTTGGCAGCTGCATTGTACTATCTCCATGAACAACTAGAAACTCAAATCATTCATAGGGATGTTAAAACCAGCAATGTGATGCTTGATTCTCATTACAATGCTCGCTTGGGTGATTTTGGCATGGCTAGGTGGCTAGAACATGAGCTTGAGTACAAGTATATCAATAGTAAAAAAACTTCAACAAAAGTTGACCATTTCAGGTTGGGAGAGACATCAAGAATTGGTGGCACAATTGGGTATCTTCCACCTGAAAGCTTGCAGAAGCCAAGCAATGCTACCTCCAAATCTGATGTCTTCAGCTTTGGGATAGTTGTGCTAGAGGTGGTGTCTGGAAGAAGAGCAATAGATCTCACATACCCGGATGAACAAATCATTTTGCTTGACTGGATCAGAAGGCTTTCTGATGAAGGGAAACTTCTGGAAGCAGCTGATACTCGGTTACCAGATGGTTCCTACAAGCTTTCACAGATGCAACATTTCATTCACATAGGCCTCCTCTGCACACTCCATGACCCACAATTGAGGCCAAACATGAAATGGGTTGTGGAAGCACTTTCTGACATTGCTTTCCATTTGCCAGCACTCCCTTCATTTCTCTCCCACCCTTTATATATATCTCTCTCTTCCCCATCAGGGACTAGTCATAGTCCTAGTAGCACAAGTGGCACCAGCTCTACCACAGAGAATGCTAGCATAATCACCAACTATACTTCATCAAACTATGTCACAGCCGCAGGTGAAACTGTGTATGTAACTGCTGAACACAAAAACAGTGAAATCATCTCTTCTAAGAGCATGAATCACCACCAATCGTTTCCCATGGTTGAAACTCCAAGAGAAATATCATACAAGGAGATTATTTCTGCTACAGATAACTTTTCAGATTCAAGAAGGGTTGCTGAGCTAGATTTTGGAACTGCTTATCATGGCATACTTGATGACAGTTGCCATGTCTTGGTGAAACGCCTGGGGATGAAGACGTGTCCCGCATTGCGCGACAGATTCTCGAATGAACTGCGGAATCTAGGAAAGCTTCGCCATAGGAATTTGGTGCAGCTTCGTGGGTGGTGCACTGAGCAAGGAGAGATGCTAGTTATTTATGATTACTCAGCAAGCAGAATTCTCAGTCAACAGCTTCTGCATCATAGCAGTGGAAGTAGAACTGGGTGTTCTGTCCTCCAATGGCACCACAGGTACAACATAGTAAAAGGACTGGCCTCTGCAGTCCTCTATCTACATGAGGAATGGGATGAGCAAGTGATTCACAGAAACATTACCTCTTCAGCTGTCATCCTTGAACCAGATATGAACCCAAGACTAAGCAGTTTTGCTCTAGCTGAATTTTTGTCAAGAAATGAGCATGGCCATCATGTAATCATTGACACTAGAAAATCAGTTCGTGGGATATTCGGCTACATTTCACCAGAATATGTGGAATCTGGTGAAGCTACCTCAGCAGCTGATGTTTATAGTTTTGGTGTGGTGGTGCTTGAAGTTGTCACTGGACAGATGGCAGTGGACTTCAGGCAGCCAGAGGTGCTTTTGGTGAAGAAGGTTCATGAATTTGAGATGAGAAAAAGACCATTGAAGGAATTAGCTGACATAAGACTTAATGGAGAGTTCAATGACAAAGAACTGATGAGATTGGTAAGGTTAGGAATTGCATGCACCCGTTGCAACCCACAGTTAAGACCAACCATGAGACAAATAGTAAGCATCCTTGGTGGCAATGACAAATTACTCATGCAGAATAACACGGAAAGCATGGAAGAATGGAGACAAAGAAATGCTAGTTCTTTGGAAATGATTAAGAGAATCCAAGCTCTAGGAATACAGTAAGTAGTTACAGTGGTCATTGGTGTAACCTAAGGAAACTGAAATTTTTGTAAAATAGAGAAGGCTGTTTCTTTGTATCTCCTTATTTTATCTATTTTATCTGCTTATTATCTATGCTAGGTTGTATATACAGAAGTTTAATGTATCGGTTTATCTTTCAGCTGAAGCATTAGTCAAATTATGTATTTCTATCATAATTTTTCTTATATTCCCACAAGCAAAATGTATAAATTTCTCCAACCAAAGTTTCAAGAAAATGATAAAATTCAAGCTTATACACATTAAGCACTATCTAATCTAAATTTAAGCATTCTCTGCAGTAGAATAGCTATTCATCAACATCAATCCCAATCCATTTGATGAAACCAAAGAGGAACCCCCTGAATGTGGCCTGCCCATTCTTGTCCCAGTCTATATCTTCTGCAAGGAAAACAAAACCAGACAGTGACATACAAATAAGGATAGTGAAATGAAAAATGAAACAACAGATCATGTTATAAAGGAGGAATTGAAGTGAAGTTACTATTACCAAGTCGTTTTCTAGTGATGTGCGATGGTGATCTTTCCCGAGGGGTAGTCTCATTCAATGTCAAGGCCATGTCCTCATGGTTAATCTTCCCATCAGAATTATGATCAAAAAACAGAAAGACCTCAACTATGGTGTCAAAAATTTCTCCAATCTGTGCTAACTCTGCTTTGGAAGGCTGAGAGGAAAACATAATCATTATATCAGTAGTGACTGCACAGTTTAAGCAGATATGTCTATCAAGTTCAAGATCAAGATAGCACAAATTAAGTTTCTGATGAATACATTATCAGAAGATGAAGGTTCTGTTAGGAGATGTACGAGGCATAGAAGAACAATAAATTCATTGAACTGTATCCCCTTGCTTCCATCAATATCACAGTACTTAAAAATATTCTGACTTTCATCCTCTGGAAGATGAAGTTGCAAATGTTCTAACAACCTTTTTAGTTCATTAGGCTCTATAGATCCATTAGAGTTCACATCTGTGAAAGATACAAAAGGTTAGTTTTCTATCAAAATTTATGTGCTTTGGTTCATAAAGAAAAGAATGTTGGGGTTGTTTTTGAAACTTACCATACTTTTCAAACATTACTCTTAACGACTTCAGTTTCTCCTCGAACGTAGGGAACATCATAAATATGTTATCAATTGATTTCATTCTTCTTTCTCCAAATTTATATCTTTTTATTTCAGCTATTTTCCGTTCAAGCTTCTCTTCCAAGCTTTTTTTCTTGCTTGGCTTCTTCTTCTTGTTGAAACAAGAAAACATGCCCCCCATTTTATGGAGCAAAGACTTCAGGAAAAAGCAAAAGATAAGATTACATTTCTCGGAATGAGGAAGAGGGAAATCCAAAGGAATACATTAAGAGATACAGGCTATAGAACATGTTTAATTTTGACCAGCCACAGACAATGTATTGTTTCACTCTTAAATTAAGCAAATTCCAATAGTGAAAGATCGAAACGAAAATTTTCAATTTGAAAACTGTAGAATAATTATTAAACAGTAGTGTCTTTGGTTTTCTTTTCTTTCCCTTGCTAAAGAATAAAAGAAAGAAAAGAAAAAGAGAACAGCCAGAACAAATCAAAGCCATATCTTGACATGCAGAAGTTGCATAAACTTGAGTCAATATCACTTAAATTTAAAAACCAACATCATATGCATATACAAGTTTCTCAATAAATTATTATTATTGTTATTATTTTTAAATCTTTCAGACCATTTTCTATTTGATATTCCAGTAAAATTAAAATTCCAAAAATTTTCCAATACTCAACAAGACATGCAGTAGATTAAACAAGAGAAAGGAATGTGAGAAGCAAAAGAAACTCACATATTTCCTGTTGCTTGGCTTGCAAACAGATGAAAACTAGTTTCTGGATAACCAAAAGATCAGCAGGAAGTAAGCTTTAAATCAATATGCAAACAGTTTAGGAAAAGAGAATGAAGCTCATCGAAATTTATAGAAAAAATAAAAAAGAAAAAAGAAGAAAAAGAAAGTATAGTGGATTCCAAAGGGGAGATGCCATCTTTGCTTCGAGTGTTAATCCTTTGAGTCCCTCTCTTTTCCTTCCAAGTATCTAAATTCCATATGGGTGATTAAGGAATATGTTCCCTTGACTTTACAAACTGTAAATAATGCTTATTCACTTATTTGTGTGATGGTGTTTCCAATAAACAAAAGCCAAAAGAAAAGGATAATTCAAAACCAGGTGGCATGGAGTTGGACCTACATATCTTCACTTTCCATTCTTTTGCTTGTGGTTTATACTTTCTATGGAAGCATTCCATAAGCCAAACACCATGCAAGCCTCCATAGCTTCTTCCACCATTTAGAGATAGAAGTTAACCTGGTTGAAACAGTTGAGTCCTGATTTTCTCTTTGAACAACTGATAGCAGGTTTTTACTTAATAGTATTATGGATGCAAAGCCTAACACTGCACCAATCTAAGTTTGAACATTCTATAAAGACAATAGAATGTTATTTATGCAGAAGCTTCAAACAGGGTCCAACTTCTAAAATCACAAAGAGAGTCTACATTCTAACGCCATTATGTTTGATTTCCATATACTCACCTGAATATATACTACCAAGATTATGACTGAAACTAGCTTTAGGGAATTAAATATTAAATTATTCATTAGCTTGCAAGTTTATTGAGAATATAGGGGATGAAACATTGTTTAGCAATATCCAACTTGGTTTGGCGAACCTTTTGGTCATTTCAATTTTCATGGGTTAAATCTAGATTGGTCGATCTTTTTTATTCATGCCTTGAGACGTTGAATCGAATGATTTTTCATTTACTGGATTACTTCAATTACATTCTGATCTTGCGAGTCCTACCGAGTAAAGCAAATTCTGAAAGATATTTTGGTAAAGAATTTGGGTAATTGTAAGGGTTTGGATAAGCCAAGGTTGAGGGTTCAATTCGAATTCAGGGTTTGGATACGTTGAAAACTCACTAAACTGGCAATGGGAACATTCCTAAATTGACCGCAAAAACTGAACCTAATCCCATTGAAATTCATATCCTCAACAATCAGAACGCGTGCGAGCCACGTGTATTTAGAAGGCGATCATAGACCATAGTCAACGAGAACGAGGAAAACAAAACCCATAAAAAGGTATTTGCGAATCAAACCCAACACAGTCTTTAAGTGGAAACCGTTCATGCTGGTGCCAGCCGTCGGCATTAGAGGCAAAATGGTGATTGTGAAGACTCATTCAGAATTATGTAATGTTATTCTTATTCCCACTCCAAGGACAAGATGCTATCAGTTGTTCAAAGAGATTGCGAGATAACGTGAAACATGCAACGAAATGTTAACATATGAAAAAATATAATAAAAATTTTATTTAGTTAAAAAATCAAATTTGAAACTTAGAAATAACTTTTAATACAATCTTGTAAACTATGTTAATAAAATCGAAAAGTAGTTTTTTTTTAAGTTTACTTTTTAGATGTTTAAATGCAATTTTAAATATTGGAGTTAATGAAATTATTTTTAATATATTATTTTTGCTCCTAATTATTTGTTTAGAGAGAAAAAAGTTATACTTATTTAACCTTTTTTTATTAAAAGAGAAATAAAAAATTATTCACTGTTGACTGAGGATGTTTTAGAATACAAATCTTTTCCGTACTATACACACCAAACTTAATTAGGAAACAGTACAAAAATTATTTCACTAAAAGTATTAAAAATAAAAATGTTATAATTTTTGCGAAGAAAACTTCGAATCTTCACAATAATAGCATCTAGCACCACTATCATTAACTAAATGAATTACATTCCTATAATCTGTTTAGCAATGAGTTCTTCTATAACCTTCACTTCAAGGTAAAGTCAAGTTATTTAACTTATCAATAAATTCTTCAAAAATATTGTCAAATATTTCTAATATGGCTAGAGAATTTCCAAACTTAATTGTCATAAGAGTTTTAATAAACCCACCAAAATCACTGATGATAGAATTATCCTGAATACTCCCTTCAACATTTAGAACCACCACATAAGAAGAGAAAGAAATAATTGAACTAGATGAGAAGGTTGAATGCACAAGATGAGTCATAATATTTCTATTTACTCGTTTATATAAAAGTTCAAGGTAATAATAAAAGATAAATTTGGAAGCTTAATAATTAATTTCCACAAAATGATCTTCTCCCTTTCTATTTGTTTTTTAAGATTATTTTACAAAGCTTAAGAATAATTAATACCATAGTTTGAATAAATATTATTCTTTAATCTTTACTTTTACACTTATGTTTTCTAGTTAATTAACTTTTATATTTATTAGTTTGTAAAAAGTAAGAATATAATAAGAAAAAGTAATAAATGTTCTTAAACTTCTAAAGTATTAAATACATATAAATAACGTATTGAGATAAAAAGAAACAAAGAAAGAACATTCTTTATTCTATGTAATATTTTTATTTTTAGTTAAATAATTAAAAATAAAGTTAGTATGAGTTTAGTATTAAATTTCTTATGAAACACTTAAAGAGGTACTCAACAACTTATTAGAGACCCAATATTAAAACGAAACTTAACACATGAAGTTTAGAGTTTTCATGTGCATAACTCGTTTGAATTGAGAAGATAGAAGAGTTTAATGGACCAATCAATTGTAAGATGTAAAATTCCTGTTTTATATCAATTAAAATTACATGGTTATAATAAATATGCATGTGAGAGTATGTTAAGAGAATTTTGAAGTGTTAGAACCGTAAGTCTTTCGCTGTAGCGAGAAAGAGGCCGTGGAAATAGAATATTTTGGAGCATTCTCGTTGTAGCGAGAATGGTCTCGCTGTAGCGAGAGATCCCTCGTTGTAGCAAAAAGTGCAAAGAACAAAGTACAATTTTGTCTGATATTTTTGCAGTGGCGAGAGAAAGTCTCGTTGTAGCGACAATCTCTCGCTGTAGCGAGAAAGGCTCGTTGTAGCAAGAATGTTACAATTCTGATAGTATTTAAAGGTTTTCATGCATGAAAACTTCATTTCTTCACTTCTTCTCACGTCCAGACTTCCTTTTCTCTGAACTCTCTTTACATTTCTTTAGATAAAATCTCTCTACACACCAATTATTTTTTTAATACATTCGTTCTAAACGATTCTAAGTATGTTTCCTTAGGTTAAATCGTGTTTTTACCATTTATTTCTTTTGAATCTTGTTCTTAAGGAATAAATTCATGTTATCTAGGTAAAAGAGCTATTTCAAGACGTTCTTCATCATCAATCTCCATTTAGATCTTCATTGTAAGGTAAGGGGAGCTCTATTTCTATCATTGTATGATGTAAGTTATATGTTGAGTTCGTGAGAGCATGTTTATGTACAAATTTTGATGATATATGTATGAGTAATGAGTATTTATGAAGAAAGATTGTTAATATGTATATGTTTGATGGTTTGGTTGACTGATTCTACTATAAAAATATGAAATATATGATGAACAAGCATAATTTTATAATTGAATAAGTTTAATAAATGTGCTGGATGTGATATGACCTTATTGCTGAGATATGATTGAGAATGATGAACGAGTCATCAATAATTTATTGAATGAAGTGATTATTGAGATCACAAGTAAATGATGAGCAGTATAGAGTTAGTTGGAAGTGCTATTAAGCATGATCTTATGAATGGATTAGTGTAAATAGTTACAGAGATACACTGAAGGTATAGAGTCCTGAGATAATAAGGAAATCTCGAAAAAATGTAGGGTGGTGAGTGACATTCGCGATTGTACACATATTATTGTTGGGTGCGAATGCGCCACATGACTTCACTCTCGTTTTCGACTAGACTCTTGACTATGTCTTTGCTAAGGGGCTCGTGATTGCATACGTTGTATCCGTATTGCATGAGCTAACTGACGACTATTGATATGAATAAGTAAAAACTCGAGAACTGTTGGAGGCATCAAACGACTGTGATCATAGTGCACTGAAAGTGTATATTTGGAAATTGAATTATAAGAATATAATGTAATTGTGTGAATTTGTATGTTAGGAAGAGAATAATTGATATGTGATATGAAGTGATGATTTTTGTATACTTATAATTATTGTGATAAATGATATGGTGTAATCGTGTTATGTTTGAAAGGTAGAATAGTTGCTCACCTTTACACCATTCTGCAGGTAGTAAAGATGACAATTCATCTTGTGTGGATTGATGTAGTAGATTTTATGCTAGTAGTGGATTAAATTATGTATTTAGAAAATATAGACGTGTTGTACATTTATATTTTAGAGTATATTTTGGAAATGATAGGGAGTATACATTAGAAGTAGTCT